CGCAGACTAAGAGTGGCGTGAAGAGATGTAGAAGCCACTTGAGAAAAATCAATAGCATTATATGCTATAATCAATTCGGACGGCTTGACACAATTTCTTCATATCTGATACTGATAGTGCATCTCCTATCTGCCGATACTGTCATGTCGCGGGCTGATGTTGAGGAGGCGAACGATGACTGTTAAGTTGACAATTTGGGCTTAAGTACCAGATCAGACGGGCTATGGTTGTTTTTTTTTTTAACCTGAACCCTGAATTCCCCAAGTATCCAAGTAAAACCACTTGACTCTTGCAGAACTTAACTCAGTTCAGAGTTGAAACGTTTGGAACCGGACAACAGACACGAATGCTTCGCACCCGTTATTCTTGATAATGTGCAAAGCTTCGTCGAGCTGCTGCTCCACGACGCAGCGATCTATCACTTTCTTTGGCCCAAACAAGGAAATCACCGCAAAAAGGCTAGGCACCGTGGTGCACATCGATCACGCGCTCCACCATGAAACATTTGGCAGCACTCTACTGATAACACGCCGCAAAACTAATCATGACAGAGTGCTCTGCGCTTTTGTGTTGCCATGTTTTCATACCGTTTCACCCGACTGTCATAGCAACTAAACCACCTGCTGCCTCCAAATTCACTACATTCACTCGCTTAAGATAATATGAGCTGACCTTTCCAGAGGCAGCGTTGGAGTCAGGGAGGCACAGGAATTCATGCTATCTGACAGGACATGAATATAAACCACACTCGTTGACGTCATAAACAACCAGAAGCTTTGCAAAAAGATTGGCCGAAAAAGGGCAGCAAGATTTACTTTCCAGCAGAGCAGAGAGTGAGGTCGTGACCCCGCATGGTTGAGTGGCAGTCGGCTCTTGCGGGGGTCACGTATGCAGGTAAAGGCAGGTTGGCTAAACCTTACATGCCCTCTAGCTACGCATATCCTCCTTCTGAGACCTGTTTGCCGATAAGTGTACACTTAAATTTCCAAGTACAGTCTTAGAACTGGCACTTTCGTACCAGGGTATATGCTTAAAACTGTAAAACTGAAACGCATTCTCCGGAAACCATTAAACTGACATCAGAAAAAAAAAAAAAAAAGTTAAATATTGGGTGTATGTAAGCCAACCTCCGCCTGGAAACAACAATGATGTTACAGGCAAACGCTCCAGGGTTGAGCCTCAGTACAGAGGAAAATGGGCTTAACAGCTTCCACCCAAGGTCTCTGAACCTGAAGGCACACACTCAACTGACCGATGCCAACAGCTGACATCTCAAGGGCAACTTTCTTAACCTAAATAATACACATGGAACAGCTATTACATACTTGAAATAGTGTGTCCATGTTTACTCGCTGCTTGTTTTCACAGTCACTGACGCACACGAAAAGCTCTGCCTAAGTGTTATGATCTTACAACTGCGTGTGTGTGTGATATGTAAATGCCCCCCGATCATAGCTGTAATCCCTGAGCTAATCTGCTAAATCACAGCCCTCAGGCAGACCAAACTGATATCTGACTCGACACTTCAAATACCCAGGTATCGGGCATGTATGACAGCTAAGCTAAGCTAAGGTTGTTGTTCTAGGTATAGCCATCTGGTGGGGACATTTTTCAGTTCCTCGCTAGGACGGAGGGAAACTTTGAGGTTTAAGATTTAGTTTTGCCCATTGTGTTTAATGTAGCATCTGAGCTGAGGTCAGAATGACACAACCGAGGCAGGTATATTGTTTCCTCTCCTCAATCACACATATGAAAACACTAACGTACGTGTATGCGTGTGTGTGTGTGTAGTCTTGGAGAGACACCCAGGCCCTGTAATTCAAACTTGTCATCAGGGAACAAGAGGGACCTGTTTGTTAAATAAGGGACCACTTCAACATTTGTCCACGTCACATCTGCTCCTCATTCATATGTGGAAAAAAAGAGAGACGCACGTAGGAGGGACACGCTGAGTAGTTCTGGGGACGACATGGAGACATGTTTATAACTCTATTAAAAAAAAAAACTTTTAATAGAGACAATGCTGGTAAAATCATTCCATGGCTCCCCCCCCCCCCCCCCCCCCCGCCCCCCCAGGGTTTAATATGTGCGCACGTCCATACCCACTGTGGATACACAAACCTCATCTGTCAACGCCACCCACGGCGCCCCTCTTTCTAACGAAGCAGTTCATGAGTGGAGTCCTGATTTAGGTTCAGAAGGGAAAATTCCACACGGGGGGGAGTAACAAGGAATAAAGTCTCATCTCTCCGATTCCACTGCCATTAAAAAAAAAAAAAGGGAGTCCGCGCAAGCAAATAAGGCCTCACCTCCTGCATACCCTTCTCCATAGAGATAGTAAATACAGGATTATGCAAATGGTTATGCAAGGACATTAAATGGTTCCACTTTCAAATGCTGCGGAGGGCCTGCGGTTTTAGTGTGGAAAAGAAAGAACCAACGCACTAAAAATGGATCAGCGGAGGAAAGGAAGAGACGTTTGCCAACAAGTGAGAGGCATGGTTGCCACATGTAAGCACATGGGTGTCTGCACGCAGGTTTTATAGACAGAAAATGTGCAAAGCGTGCTTCCTATTTGTTTGTTTCTCAGTTAGCAGGAGGTTATGTCTCCAATACCTAAAAATAAACACAAAGAGCAAAACATTCAAACACCGTCCAAAGGCTTATTCCGATAGGCTACCACTACCAGAAAGCAGTGGTTAAACTTTCATTTATCATTTTGGTCATTTAATATCATTCTCTATGCCATGAGTAATTAATCAAGTAGCACGGCAATACTTAAAAATAGTAAATTCCAAATGCTAATGTATTTATTATGTGGGTCTAGGAAAAGGTAATTAAAGGCAAACATCAATAAGCAAAACAGGGGTGTATTTGATTGATTAACTGCTTCATCCCTTCAACCATTAAAGGGTTCCTTCAAATAACTCCGGCTATGAAATCTTAAACTTTGATGTAAAGCTAACTGGAGCCTGCAGGTCTGCGAGAGACCCTTTGGTGCCCCAACCTGGGGATAAGTTTGCAGCCACTAAGTACACACATACAAGTAACTGGTTTGTATGTCTGGTGCAATCTTCTCCACACTACCTGGAGACACAAAAACACACATCTTTAGATACACATCCAAAAGGTTGATTCAATTACTTTCGCCTCACCTGATTCTTGTGCCGTGCGCGTGACTCTGCAGATGCTCCTGCCACTGCTGGTGGTGATGGTGACTGAGACAGAGAGGAGACGATGAGTGAGGAGGATGGGGGTGGGAGTATGTGCAGGCAGAGACGCAGCAGGGGCAGGTTGAAGTGGTCGCAGGGTGGGAGACCAGCCCAGGCCCGGAGCCCGTGTCCGGGTTCTGGAAGAGAGGGCACTCCGGTTGTCCACAGGGGCAGCAGAGGGCAGAGTGGAAGTGACAGTGCTGGCAACAAAGTGGTGAAGGTTGGACAGAAGGTGAGGAGGACAATGTGGAATGGTTAGGGGACGCATGTCGACTGACCAGTCTCTGAGACTCTGTGGCAATAGTGGGGGCAGTGGCAGCAGCTGTAGACGAAGGGGAAAAGTTCTTCAGGGAACCATTCTGTTTGACCACGCCACCATTTTGACTTGGTCTGTTTGTTCTCCGGACAAGGGCCCTGTGGGTTTTCTGCTGCACTTTAGATGCTGCGCCGTTCACAGACACATCATCGTCTCCGTCTGCAGAGAGACGCTCAGTGCTGAAGGCTGCTGTGAGGGACTCCTTGCTGTTGCTGACAAGCGTACACGTGGTCAAGGGAGTGCTGCCGTTAAGGGGATGGTGACCTCCGTTACTAAGCGCCAGAGAGTCTCTGCTTGCATCACTTTGGGCCATGGTCTCCTCCCGCCTGACCTGACAGGGATACTGTCACTTCTCTGTGGAGTAGGGAAAACAAAAGAAGGAAATGTGAGTTCTGACCGTAGGAAACAAATTGATCATCTGTAAAGTGTTTAAAAATAACCTACAAACTTCAAACACAGGTTTATATTTCATCTTTGCCTCGAGTTCTGCGAAAGTATTTTTCCGGAAAAAATGGATGTTCGTGCATCGAGGCACCAAGGGCTATAATCACACCCGCCTGTTTTCCCATCCAAGAGAAAGACATGTGGAGTATGTGACCAATGCCCACTAGCACCTCGACATGAGCGAGTGGTGAAACATGAGCATGACAGCTTGGTCAGGTCAGGAGTGGAAGAAGGCAACAGGGTGAGAAAAGTGGAGGACAGGGAGGTGGTGGAGCGGAAGAATAATTCGGAAGCCCGTGGAGCCCGGAGTAGTGAGGTGTTGAGGGAAGTCCATAAGAAGTCATTAGTGTGGCTGCCGCAGCTGTCAGTGGACTGCAGGGGGGACAGAAAGGTTTAATGTAGGCCAAGTTCTGAAAGACTCAAATAAACGTAAGGGTTGAACCACTATCGTAGCAACACTGTAGCATAAATGACCGACCAAGTCTTTCTGTTGTCTGGAATTTAGCCTCGACACTGTGTGTGTCTAAGTGTGAGTGTGTACACGGCAACGCTGACTGCTGACAGGCAGGTGAGACATCTAGGACGGTCTGTGTTGACACAAGCAGGGTCTTGTGTCTTTCTTCAAAATAAAAACTGACAGCTGGACGAAACTGGATGACTGGTCCCAAAACGAATAAATAAAAACATTAATAATATCATTACAACAAATCTCAAATTATCATCTACAAAAAGAACAATTTCCACCGTATCTAACAGGCTTTCCAGATCCTAAAATAATCTCAAGCAATATCAAATTATCATCTACAAAAACAACAATTTCTACCGTATCTAACAGGCTTTCCAGATCCTTCGTCTCCATTTACTGGTAATCCAACAGGTCAAACTCTGTCTAGACTTCCAAATGTGCTGACATGTCATTTCCTGCTTGTTTTCAGTACCAACCCGCAGCTTTTAAGAGATTACTTGTGCCAGCAGGGGTGAGGCTGCTGAGAGTGTCGGTTCCTCTGCAAACCTCAGAAATTACTTAATCAACAATACCAAAAAGAAAACAGATCAAAACGAACATTAATGCTTATTAATTCCAAGGGCGAGCATCAAGGTTAAAAGCAAGTGATGACAAAGCACTTATTCCACCGTCTTTCAAGTGATCTCCGTGATTATGGGGTGTCGGGAAGATACGAGTCCTCAGGCGACAGGGAGCCTTACGCAACACAAGGCAAGACGTCCTGCATCCCTTTAATTAAAACTAATAGGCAGCAATTACCAGGCATCAGTCAAGAGATGGTTAATAAACACACTCTGCTTCTAATAATAACAGCGTACACAACCGCTGTCATGCTGATCCTGTGAGGTGTCACTTGACGCGTCTTTAGAAGAAGAACTATTCCAACACGTTCGTGGTTGTCGGGAGAGATATTGGACACATTTCACCTCCTCGGGGCATTTTTCCTTCACAGCTGGGCTGTTTAACATACCACTTCAACGGTGTCTGCCCAAGGCAACAGTGACCTGACGCTGAATGCACTCAGACAACCTCCAGTTTGTGTCAACTGATCGGGCGTCACACAGTCACTGGGTGGAATAACATCAGGATAAAAATTAATTAGAAATACGATCTTGACGAGCGTTGATATACACAAACGTGCTGCAACAGCTCAACATGTCAGGGCTGTAATGATTAATAATATAATCACCAGTAATGTTAAATAATTGACTGAGCTGTATAATTATATATATATATATATATATATAGAGAGAGAGAGAGAGAGAGAGAGAGATAGTATTGCTTTTAATTGGGAAACAAGTCCTAAACTTTCTTTTACCCATAAACTATTAAAATATTTTTGTCTTGAGGTTTGAAAAATTATTTTTTCTGTTCAGAAAATAAATTCATTACGTCTTAATCACCAAAAAATAATTAAATATTTTAAATATTTATAACTAAAATCTTAACAAGCAACTGCTTTAAATGCAGTGACGAAAATAGTATTCTGTTTTATCATTTCTATCTGTTCCTCTTTAATTCCAAATATCATTTGTGAATTTTTTTAAAAGTACTGTCCAGGTTCGACAACAACTCACATTTGTGAATTTTTTTACTTTTTACTTAAGTACTGTCCAGGTTCGACAACAACTCCAAATTATTTAAAAGCATAGAAGTTAGAAAATTGGTTTATTTAAGATTTCTCCTCTAATTAATGAGTTCTTCATCATAACTGAAGAAACTCGAATAACAGGTGACATTTCACGACATTTAAAGTTGCATATTCACATTTATTCGTGCTTATATATATTTATATACGTATTTATAAATTCTTTTGTTTAAGCATTTTAAACCGTATTGTCATTACTTCTGTCGAAAATCTGTCTCGCTGTTGTCGCAGCAGAGCTGTTAGCAACCGTTTGATAAGAATCTTCCAGAGTTCTGCTCCGTTTCCACCTTCACTGACGCTCAACACAGCGGCAGACAGCAGCATGGAGGAGCCTCGGTGTTCGCTCACAACTTGTAAAAAAAACACACACACACACACTGCGCTAATTCGACGTGAAAGACGTTGAAAATATTTAGAAAAAAAAAAGAAGTAGTTAGCAGAGTCCGCGGAGGCAGAGACAACCACAGGCTCCCCCACTGTCTCCTACCGTTTTCCGTCGTCTACCGGTGTTTTCTGCTTGTTATCGCCTGTTGGACCTGCGGCATGCGGCTCTGTGGTAGCACCGAGTAAAGGACTCATGAACACGGGTACACCTCCACACGGACACGGGAAGGACCCCCTCCGCTCTCACTTCAAATAACTGCGAGGCTGTTTAAACAAAGTTCACTCGAGAAGCAGCAACTCGTCTGACTCGGAGCGGACCGTGTCTCCTGAAGACTATGTATGTGTGTGTGTGTGTGTATCCAGCCAGTCGCTGCTGCCGGGATGACTGACACACACATACACATACAAAAACAAACGTACACGCGCGCGCACACATTTACACACACACAAACACCGGCTCAGGCAGAAGGCTGGGCTGGAACTGCACCGCGGGGCTTGAGCTTTGATAGGACGGTCCCATTGTCAGGTTTAACCCGCTCACTGCCACTATTTTGAAAGGGAAAAAGTCATTTCCGGTAACCCCACAAACACACCCACTAACATGGGGGGACGTAATTACTTTTAATATCTATCCATCTATCTATCTATCTATCTATCTAATTATCTAATTATCTATCTATCCATCCATCTATCCATCCATCTACTTCTTGAAACTAGAACAACTTGGATATGGATTTTCCGACTGTTTACCCATGACCTTTGGGTCATTTCCTAATTGTAACATATTGACAATTGTTGACAAGGAAGAAAACTCAAAATATTCTGCCATATCTACTAGACAACTACTACTATTTCAAAAGTTGTAACTTGTACTTCACATGATGAAAGTGGTTCACATTGGTTCTTCAAAATAAACCGCCTGTATTTGGGTGGAAGGATTGCGATAAACTCTAACTGTTGGGAACTGCTAGCTTCAAATTGAGAAAAACTCAGAACAGAACCGAAATTGGTTGCATTACAAGTGTCGGGATTAGTACAGAAAAATATTTCATCTGTTCTTACTTGAGGTTCCTTTGAAAAAAATATTTTGCTCACAAGTAATTATTCCTCTCAGTAGGGGGGTAGTTGATCATCAGGAAACGCTGAGGCCGGACCTGGATTCAATTTGAGCTGTCCACTAGGATTAGGACAGAGTCCATAGTGAGCTGTAGTCATCTGAGCAGTTACAGCCAGTCCCCCAGGCCGGGCCAAAGACCTTTAACGTTCTCTGCTTTGTGGTTGGCACTAATTATAATAAGCGTACTAATAGGTTGGTATTCGACAATCCAGGTCATTTTATCCTTTAAAGGTAAAAAAACAAACAGCTGGACTGGCCTGGCGAAACGTCTTCAAGAACCCAAACTAGTCCAGTCGCCTATTAAGATTATTAGTGTTAGAATTTAGACTACCGTTTCTTCCAGACTATAAGTCGTTCAGCAATATCAAATCGTAACAGCCAAAGGATGACAAACGATTTACAGGAGTAGCAGATACTGGTACGTAAGCCTAGAGTGCCCTCTAGTGGCTCTCAGTGTGAAAATAACAAACATGCACATTTTCAGTGATACAGGAGTAGCATATACTGGTACGTAAGCCTAGAGTGCCCTCTAGCGGCTGCCTGTGTGAAAATGACAAACATTTATATTTTAATATACAAGTCGCACCTGAGTATAAGTTGCAAACCCAGCAAAAAGAATGAAATAAAGTGCACCTTTCAGTCCAGAAAATACTGTATTCTGTTTTATCATTTCTATCTGTTCCTCTTTAATTCCAAATAACATTTGTGAATTTTTTTACTTTTTACTTAAGTACTGTCCAGGTTCGACAACAACTCCAAATTATTTAAAAGCATAGAAGTTAGAAAATTGGTTTATTTAAGATTTCTCCTCTAATTAATGAGTTCTTCATCATAACTGAAGAAACTCGAATAACAGGTGACATTTCACGACATTTAAAGTTGCATATTCACATTTATTCGTGCTTATATATATTTATATACGTATTTATAAATTCTTTTGTTTAAGCATTTTAAACCGTATTGTCATTACTTCTGTCGAAAATCTGTCTCGCTGTTGTCGCAGCAGAGCTGTTAGCAACCGTTTGATAAGAATCTTCCAGAGTTCTGCTCCGTTTCCACCTTCACTGACGCTCAACACAGCGGCAGACAGCAGCATGGAGGAGCCTCGGTGTTCGCTCACAACTTGTAAAAAAAACACACACTCTCACTGCGCTCATTCGACGTGAAAGACGTTGAAAATATTTAGAAAAAAAAAGAAGTAGTTAGCAGAGTCCGCGGAGGCAGAGACAACCACAGGCTCCCCCACTGTCTCCTACCGTTTTCCGTCGTCTACCGGTGTTTTCTGCTTGTTATCGCCTGTTGGACCTGCGGCATGCGGCTCTGTGGTAGCACCGAGTAAAGGACTCATGAACACGGGTACACCTCCACACGGACACGGGAAGGACCCCCTCCGCTCTCACTTCAAATAACTGCGAGGCTGTTTAAACAAAGTTCACTCGAGAAGCAGCAACTCGTCTGACTCGGAGCGGACCGTGTCTCCTGAAGACTATGTATGTGTGTGTGTGTGTGTATCCAGCCAGTCGCTGCTGCCGGGATGACTGACACACACATACACATACAAAAACAAACGTACACGCACGCGCGCACACATTTACACACACACACACAAACACCGGCTCAGGCAGAAGGCTGGGCTGGAACTGCACCGCGGGGCTTGAGCTTTGATAGGACGGTCCCATTGTCAGGTTTAACCCGCTCACTGCCACTATTTTGAAAGGGAAAAAGTCATTTCCGGTAACCCCACAAACACACCCACTAACATGGGGGGACGTAATTACTTTTAATATCTATCCATCTATCTATCTATCTATCTATCTAATTATCTAATTATCTATCTATCCATCCATCTATTCATCCATCTACTTCTTGAAACTAGAACAACTTGGATATGGATTTTCCGACTGTTTACCCATGACCTTTGGGTCATTTCCTAATTGTAACATATTGACAATTGTTGACAAGGAAGAAAACTCGAAATATTCTGCCATATCTACTAGACAACTACTACTATTTCAAAAGTTGTAACTTGTACTTCACATGATGAAAGTGGTTCACATTGGTTCTTCAAAATAAACCGCCTGTATTTGGGTGGAAGGATTGCGATAAACTCTAACTGTTGGGAACTGCTAGCTTCAAATTGAGAAAAACTCAGAACAGAACCGAAATTGGTTGCATTACAAGTGTCGGGATTAGTACAGAAAAATATTTCATCTGTTCTTACTTGAGGTTCCTTTGAAAAAAATATTTTGCTCACAAGTAATTATTCCTCTCAGTAGGGGGGTAGTTGATCATCAGGAAACGCTGAGGCCGGACCTGGATTCAATTTGAGCTGTCCACTAGGATTAGGACAGAGTCCATAGTGAGCTGTAGTCATCTGAGCAGTTACAGCCAGTCCCCCAGGCCGGGCCAAAGACCTTTAACGTTCTCTGCTTTGTGGTTGGCACTAATTATAATAAGCGTACTAATAGGTTGGTATTCGACAATCCAGGTCATTTTATCCTTTAAAGGTAAAAAAACAAACAGCTGGACTGGACTGGCGAAACGTCTTCAAGAACCCAAACTAGTCCAGTCGCCTATTAAGATTATTAGTGTTAGAATTTAGACTACCGTTTCTTCCAGACTATAAGTCGTTCAGCAATATCAAATCGTAACAGCCAAAGGATGACAAACGATTTACAGGAGTAGCAGATACTGGTACGTAAGCCTAGAGTGCCCTCTAGTGGCTCTCAGTGTGAAAATAACAAACATGCACATTTTCAGTGGTACAGGAGTAGCAGATACTGGTACGTAAGCCTAGAGTGCCCTCTAGCGGCTGTCTGTATGCAAATGACAAACATGTATATTTTAATATACAAGTCGCACCTGAGTATAAGTTGCAAACCCAGCCAAAATAATGAAATAAAGTGCACCTTTCAGTCCAGAAAATACTGATTCTTAAGTATTTCCATGCATTTTTTCCGTCCAGCTGAAAATACTGACACTTACGGTACGAGGGTACTTTTCAGCTACAAGTATGAAACGTTATATTCATTCATCAGAATGAGAACGTCACAGACATGTGTCTGGGAAATTATTGTGTTAACAGTGAATATGCTGCCCCCAGCAGGTGCCAAGCATGTGGTTCCTTTGGTAATCGAACCCAGGACTCTCTGCTCTCTGCTTCCGAGGCAGGCGTGCTAACCGCTACAATATGGAACCGATGCAAGGTCGTCAATTTGGGCGGCGATGGAAACAAATGTAACAACAGCCGATGGGATATTAAACACATAAATGATGATTTGATGACAGGGGCTGGATGGATGTGATTTGACATATACTGGAAGAGGGGTAGGTAATCCTAGACACCCCCCTGGAGGATTTCACCAACCTTGGCATGTGAAAATTTCTATCTGGTATAAGTAGAAGAGAAAGGGTAATGAAAGAAAAGCCGGCGACGAAAAGAGTGAATTATAATGTGGTTTTGGAGTGGATGTGGGTAATTAGATATATAAAGAGAAAAAGAAAAAAAAAAAACAAAACAAAAAAGGTCTGAGTTGACAGGGCCTCCATTCAGGCACTGATTAGAACACTGAGTCAAAACGCTGACATGGCCTCCATTCAGGCACTGATTAGAACACTCTTTGGCTACTGTGTGTCAGAAATGTGGAAACAGGGCGACCTGATCTTTTCAACACCTTGGCAGTAAAGGCGGATATCTCCTAACCTATTAGCGCAGAATTCCGTGGCTCCTGCTCCCAGGGATCCAGACGGACTTAAGAATGGCTGGAAGAAATTGAGTCTTATGTTTAGGGGTTCCTTTGTGTTCTTTTATTCTTAAAAACAGGGGTCCTGTCTTCAAATTCTTTGAGGCAATTAAAAAAAGAAAAGATTAAAAAAATGTCAATTATATTGAATTTTCTTTTAAAGGCATGCATTAATAATGCTATTAATACTGAGATTTACTATAAGGTAATACTATGAAGAGGTGGGGTACAATATTTGTCATTTGGGAATGCCAAGAGTTAGAAAATAGTTTGATTCTAAATACACATTTTTTACGCGTATTTTACTGTAGCTCTCCGTCTAAATGCAGTATCTTGTGTTGAAAGGAACATTTTAATGGCATCAAATCCAGATCCAACAGTCCAATAATATGGTTAGCAATTAGAGTTCATTGGTTGTTCAACTGCTATTTTGTATCATGGGAGAACACCAAACTTAGCCAATACACATGAATGAACCTGCACCTGGATCAATGTACTAGATGAATGCACAGCCTTTTGTATTTGATCTCCGCAAACAGAGTACAAAGCGGGCATAAAGCGTTTTTTGTGTGTAATACTATAAGTCATACACAGGTGTTTCATTTTCTTTACAGGTAAAAATGTGTTGACTTTTTTTTTTTTTTTTTAGCCATTCTTCTCTGTGTAGATTGTAGTACTGCGGCCGAGGGCCTGTCTGGAGCAGAGCGAGATGTACACACTAGGTCTACTGCACAAAGAGGCTGCAGAGTAAGCACAAAAAGTTTTCACTTTATCCATCAAAAAGA